TCAATAAATTGTTGACGGGATCAAAGCTGAAGAAGAAAGTAAGTAGGGTCAAAGCTAAAAATGATGTTCGACATCATGCGAGCACATCATCGTTCTGAAGTGGGGGTTGTACTTGTATCCCTAACTGGATTCGTGATTCTAAAAGGATTCTCCTTAACTGAGTCATGCACCAATAATGCAATTGGCCAAGAAAATCAACATCCGACATCTCGAGGCCTATGGTGATTCTCAACTCATCGTAAATCAAGTCCGAAGAGAATATAAAGTGTGCAATGAGGATTTGCTCCCATACCACTTTGCGGCATTAAAGTTAGCCCAAAAGTCTGAAGGCTTCTTTATCGGATACGTTCCGCACCAACAAAATGCATATGCAAATGCTTTAGCTTCGTTGACGGGATCAAAGCTGAAGAAGAAAGTAAGTAGGGTCAAAGCTAAAAATGATGTTCGACATCATGCGAGCACATCATCGTTCTGAAGTGGGGGTTGTACTTGTATCCCTAACTGGATTCGTGATTCTAAAAGGATTCTCCTTAACTGAGTCATGCACCAATAATGCAATTGGCCAAGAAAATCAACATCCGACATCTCGAGGCCTATGGTGATTCTCAACTCATCGTAAATCAAGTCCGAAAAGAATATAAAGTGTGCAATGAGGATTTGCTCCCATACCACTTTGCGGCATTAAAGTTAGCCCAAAAGTCTGAAGGCTTCTTTATCGGATACGTTCCGCACCAACAAAATGCATATGCAAATGCTTTAGCTTCGTTGGCAACATTATCACCAAAAGCAGAAACAAAGATATTCGTTTCAAGTTGTGACTTATATCACCTCAAGTTTCCTCTAGAAGACTATGTAGAAGAGGCAACAGCAAAGATCGTCTGCAAAACTTCTGCAGGTCTCGAACCAAGGGATTTGCGATTCTCATTCGTCGATTATGTCTTGTACGGCATACTTCCCGACGATCCCAAAGAAGCTACTCTCTTTTCTTTGGTTTACGGCTGTGAAGCCGTGTTACCATTACAAATTCAGATCTCATCTCTAAGAGTTGCTTTTGCAACTAGGATGACCAATAAAGAATAACATCGACTATGTCTCTAAGAACTGAAAGCGTTAGACAATAAGCGGCGTCAAACCTAACAACAGATCGAGTTATACCAAGCTCGAATCTCAAAAGCCTACAACAAAAAGGTCAAAGAAAGGATCTTCAAGAAAGACGATCTCGTCTTAGCAGTCAGATGACCTATGATCCTGACACATAAGATAAAAGAAAAATTCAATCCCAAATGGGAAATACCCTTCGTAGTAGAGTCAGTCTATTCGAATACAGTTTATCGTCTCATTAATCAGAAAGGCGATGGGCTCATGATGCTAATTAACGGAATTTTTTTAAAAAAATATTACCTATAAAAATCATGAGACCTATTTTTTTCTCCCATGCAGAGTCCTAGTCAAGACTGGGGGTTGATTATTTGTTATTTCCCAAACAGAATAATAAATTCTCAAAATTGTCAGGTTAACAATACACCTCTGACAATAAAAATCTCTCAAAGAGTAATTTGAATTATTAATCTTCTTCGAAAGAAAGTAAGTCAATACTATCGAGTTAACAAAATGTCACTGATAGTATAAGCACTTCAGCGTGCATCACCACCAAAATCAACTTAATCTTTCCAACAAGATGATAAAACCACAAAAGTTGACATGTTTAACAAAACACCTTTGTCAACTATAAAACTCACAAAACCATCCCTAGCCAAAATATTGTCGAGTTAACATTACACTTCTGATGATTAACATCCTCACAGAGTTCAAATTCAGCTTGTCTCATTCTTGATATAGCAAACTTTTTTAAACTAAATCAACTTATCAATCCTCTTCAATAGGATGATAAATCCACAAAGTTGCTCAAATCACAACACAATCCCGTCAAGTTAACAATACACCTCTGATGGCAAATTTAACTTATCAATCCTCTTCAATAGGATGATAAGTCTATAAAGTTACTCAAATCGCAACACAATCCCGTCAAGTTAACAAGACACCTCTAATGATAAAATCAACTTATCAATCCTTTTTAATAGGATGATAAGTCTACAAAGTTGCTCAAGCAATCTCGTCAAGTTAATAATGTACCTCTGATGGAAAAATCAACTTATCAATCCTTTTTAATAGGTTGATAAGTTCACAAAGTTACTCAAATCATAACACAGTCCCGTCAAGTTAATACACCTCTAATGATAAAATCAACTTATCAATTCTCTTCAATAGGATGATAAGTCTACAAAGTTGCTCAAATCGTAACATAATCCTATCAAGTTAACAATACACATCTGGCAGTCAAAATTTCCACATGTCCCTAAGGAATTTGAATCAAGATTCTAATACAAGTATTCATAAAGTTAACCTTACATCTCTGATGATAAAATTAACTTACCAACTCTCTTCAATAGAGTGATAAGTCCTCAAAAATCTTATTCAAATCACAAATTTAAAAATTTCAAATTAATACTACACCACTAATGATGAAATCAACTTATCAACTCTCTTCAATAGAGTGATAAGTCCTCAAAAAATATTGTTCAAATCACAAGTACAAAAGTCAAGTTAATATTACACCTAGATGATAAAATTAACTTATCAACTCTCTTCAATAGAGTGATAATTCGACAAAAATCTTGTTCAAAACATAAGTACAAAATATCATCAAGTTAACACTACACCTCTGATGATAAAATTAACTTATCAACTCTCTTCAATAAAGTGATAAATCCACAAAAATCTTGTTCAAATCAAAAGTACAAACTATCATCAAGTTAATATTAGACCTCTGATGATAAAATCAACTTATCAATCCTTCCAAATAGGATGATAGGTCCACAAATTACTATTATGTTAACACTATACCTCTAACAGTTAAACCCCCCATGAACTTGTTAATTCTTTTCAACAGAATGACAAATGTTCATTGTCAAAACGTGAGGGTCATCCCGCGTTCCAAATTCAAAACACGAATGTCACCTCGCGTTCCAATATCAAAACGCGAAGGTCACCTCCGAGTTTCAAAAAAACAAAACGTGTGGGTCACCCTCGCGTTTCAAAAGCAAAACGCGTGGTTCGCACCCTCGCATTCCAAAGATCAGACGCAACTCTAGCATTTGCAAAAGTAGAACTCGGGTCTTGCATGTCAAATCTCTACAACCAAATTCATGATGCTTTCGAGACGGATGCAGTGAGCAACTCCTTTATGACAAGGAATCAACAGTACATTGTTCCAAAATCAAACTAAATCAAGATCCAAGGTATTTTGAAAATTCGTTCCAGTTAACCGCGAACTTTCGAAAACTTTAGAGGGCATTCTGTAGGCTGTCAAAAAAATATTGTAGATAGTTGATCCTCACAAAACGCTAACGATGAAAGTTACAAACTGATGACTTTCACGACAACAGACGAAAGTAACAATTTGATAACTCTCATACTTCAAAAAGCCAAATGCAAAAATTATAAAATGACGATCTTTGTAAAACTTGAAAAAAAGATTACAATTAACGATCTCTTCAACTCCAAAACGCAAGGGTCCTCCCCCACGTTCTAATTCCAAAACACGAGTCACCCCCGCGTTCCAATTCCAAAACGCGAGGGTCATCCCCGTGTTTTAACTCCAAAACGCGAGGATCACCTATGCGTTTCACAAAGCTGAACGCGAGGCTCGCTCCAGAGTGTGAATCTCGCGTTTGACCGTTTCAATGGTAATTTGAATGGTTCAAAATCGTTTTCCACATAATTAGGGCATTAAGCCCCCATTATGGAGAGATTTACGGAGTCAGTTATACCCCTAGATCTCTATAAATAGCTAAGAATTTAGCTGAATACAAATCCTTTTGAATCATCTTGGATGGTTGGCTTTTGTTGAAGCTTTGGAGATCATTTGGCTTGGCTTTTTTGAACCATTTTCGGTTGAAGAACTTTAAAATTAGTTGTTTAGCTTATTTCGGTTGAAAAATAATTAAATTTTCTTTCTAAAATTAACTGAGTTCTTAAACTCGTTTAGAGTTCTAAACTTGCCTGACAAGTTCTTCCCGACGTTAAGTCAAGAAGAGTGAGTTCTTAAACTCGTTTAGAGTTCTAAACTTGCCTGACAAGTTCTTCCCGACGTTAAGTCAAGAAGAGTAGACAAAGTTCGAGTTCTAAACTTGCCTGACAAGTTCTTCCCGACGTTAAGTCAAGAAGAGTAGACAAAGTTCCACGAAACAAGACGTTCAGATCGTCAACGGGATATAAGAATCAAACTCTCATCGTCACCAAGAAGAACCCAGCCTTAAACAAATAGGGGGATCCGTCCTCTCTTTTGTAAATCGGAAAACCGATAAAAAATTATAATTTTTTTTCTAAGTCAGTTAGAGAGAAGTTACTTGTAGAGATGGTATTCATTCTTTTCCTAAGTCAGTTAGGAAGATTAATACAAATTTATTTCTCAATTTTCTTATAATTTTTCCCGCAAACAATTGGCATGAGGAATACAGATAGACATATTCAACTAAATCAAGTATAAGAACATACTCTAGAGTTGAGTCAGCTGATTTTGAATCTTTCTGGGTAATCAGGCCCTGATATAATGAAATAAATAAGTTTTGAAAAACCATAATGCGTTCGTACTGTTTAAGCATAGCATACTACTGGGAGGGAACTTCACTGGTTCCTCATATTTTTAAATACTTACAAAGACCTGTTCTTTATTCCACCGATTATCTTTTTATCAGCCTTAAATTCTTTAAAGGTTCCATTCACAAACACCGGATCACGTGTACACTGATATTTTTTTAAGGAAAAAGAAGTCATGATATTTTCCTGTAACATAGTTAATTCCTGTGTAAACAATAGATGTCACCAAATTGAGAAGAATAGACAACTTTTGCTCTAAATCTGCGTCCCAGTTACAGAAATAGATAGAGAGGATGTCATGACTGATCTCATAAGAAGAATATTTCAGAGGTAAAACGTACCACAGTTAACTCCTTCCAGACCAAATTCTCATGGTTTATGTGACTCAGAAGCTTCGAGCAAATAGAGCTTCCCATTGTTCTGCAAAAGAAGTGTGAAGTTTGTCAATTCAATTATGATGCTTTATGTACATATTAATTTGTTGATACAATAACTAAAGAAAGACAAATGGAACATGAACTTGCTGGACCTTAAACAACATACTAAAATGATCATTGCGGAAGAAAATGCAAAGCTCTTGCTCTTTCAGACCTTCTATAAGGTGATATAGACTGCCAAAATAAACAAAGATAGAAACATAAATTTCCACAACCTGAGGATATAAAAATATATTAGAAAAGATTGATGTACCCATGATCTGTCAGTTGGCAAGGGAAACTGTCCAGGAAGTTATGCATCAGATGACCAGAATAGAAATCTAAGATTGAGAAAAACAGGTAGAAACTTGAAGAAAATATGAAAGGTTCTCCATTGAAGTTATGGAAGGACAAGGAGTGCATTCTTGCTCTTCTCCAAGTTCAGGAAGAAAATCCTCCTCTTCATAGTCTGACTCCCGATCTTCACATGTTTGGTATCCAGGATAAATTTTGCAGCCTTCTCCTGGGGAAATGGAGCTTCTATCTTTAGGTTTGAGCTCCTTATGTCTGATGGATCACTATCATTTCTACTACTAATGGATTTGCATTTAGGTGTTCAAACAGATATTGGCTGCTGAAGTTTTTCAGATTCATCTCCCATACTGGAACTTCTGGAGCATGTAATTTTATCAGAATTATCATCAGCTAAAGTATGTTCTTCGTTTTCTGAGACCAACAGTGTTCTTGGCTTCTTGCTAGTGCCTCTGCTTCTTCTATGTCACCTCTTCTTTCACCTACTGGAAGATTTGATGATGCAGTTGTTTCATTTGTTACAGGAAAAACTTGAGAATCTTCCACAGGAGTACTTTCTCTCTTAGCTTTCCTTGATTTGATGGAAGCAATAACCCTGCTCAAAGCACTGGAAAACTTTTGACCCAATAATAGCTGCAGCATGAATATCCTGTAAACAAGGTGAAGGTTAACCATCAAACAAAACAAAAAGCAGTTCAATCCGAATAAGATATATTAGAGAAGATGTGATTCTGTTGATCAAACCAACTTGTCCTGTTAATCATTCACTTTGTACCTTCACTTCCAAATATTTAAGTAAATGGGCTGGTCTGACTCAATCATTCATAGTTAAGTTAATTGGGCCTGATCCAAATGAGCTCCAATATACCAACTTGATACTTGGCCAATGAAAAAAAAAATGTTACCTTGAGATCTAGAAAGGCTAGAAATATGAGAATGTAAGGTCTAATAAGACTTAAGTATTCATAGGGAACCAGGACTAGTATAATAAAAAGAAACGAAACCAACTGAACCTTTTCCTGTCAAATTTTAGGATGAAGAAAAAGGTTAGCTGCATCCAAGTTCTTATAGACAAAGGATTAGAATCCCAATTGTAAAGATCACCTGGACTTGACATTAATGATCTGCACTGGTTTTGACATCCCCATGAAGATAACAGATGACAGTTTTCCTTTCTTTACCATGAAAAGAATTGTGCCTAACCAGTCTGAATTCTATTCGCACACTGATTTTGGATGAGGGAAAGAAAAAGATTACTCACAGTTTGCAGGAGACACATTGTTTCTACACTTATTTTGGATGGGAGGGAGGGAGGGAGAGAGGAAAAGAATAAGATTACTCATGGTTTGCAAGAGCCTCAATGTGAATTATCTCCAAACTAATGTGCACCAGAATAGAGTTTGTGCGTTGAGGGAGGGAGGGACGCAGGGAGGAAGGAAGGGAAAGAATAAGATTACTCAAGGTTTGCAAGAGCCTCAATGTGAATTATCTCCAAACTAAAGTGCACCAAAAGAAAGTATGTGCATTGATGGGATCATTAGAATGTTGAGCCCCAATGTGTCCCAAGGATTCAAGCTGGGAGAGACCATCTTTCTTGAAAAACTTACATTGTGAAATTTTTTTTATAAAACTACGTATATTAACGCTTGTCATTCATTTTGGATAGTGAAGAAAGACCTGGGTGAACTTAAACTAGGTAGGGGAAAAAACTACTTCCATAATCCACCTATCCTCAACTTCGTCATCGAGGCTTTTTCATCAAAATGGAATTCGTAAATGAAGCACAACTCCATCTTTGAGAAGGTTCCTTGGAGATATTGGGAAAATGTTACCAGTCGCGTAATGAATTGATGCCAAATTCCACTCAAGATTCAAAGTTACAACATAGAACTTAAAACTAATATTTAAAAAAAATAACTGTGAGATCCTTTTTCTGATAAGTAGCTAAATACATATATTTAAGTCTGTTGACAAGTCCATCAAGGTCCAATATGATGACTCTTAGGTACAGATAGCAAACATGAAACAACACTGCCAAACTCCAAAAGGTAACAATTTATAAGTAAGTCTCACTAGAGCGAACTCACAAAGTAAATTAAAGTAAATCCAAAATTCATTTTCAAATACCAAGTTGAAGATCGAGAGATCTAGATACAATTGTCTTATTCAATTCCATCTTCTGCTTCTAGGACATCTAAATTAATAGCAACAAAATGAATGAATATTCCACGGAAGAACAACAAAAGAGAAAGGGAATGCACGTAGCATAACAAGAGATATGAAGCATCAAGAAATAAGCACCATGTCAAATAGTATAATAAGAGATTGAAGAATTGTGCTTAACTGATTAATAAGAAAAGTCAATAAAGCTGCAATAAATTGATATACCTGAGGATCTACTATCCATCCGTGGTACAGTCTGATACCAAGGAGTTTAAACATGGATTGAACATGGATTGTTCCGGTATAAACTCATAGTCATCAATCCTACATACAGTAATCAAGAAAAATAAATCCTACAATGAAATTTTAAGGAAAAATATAATAGCTCATTTACCCTACAGAACTGATTTAAATGTAAGTATCATCAGAAATTATATTGCCCAGTTAAATTGATAGTTGCTGAAGGTAAGAAACAAACAACATGAGGGCATAAGTAAATTACACGATAATGGCACTTTTGTTATCATCCGAGCATACAGATAAAGTTAGTTCCCACCTCTGAAACTATATGGTGCACCTGGGCATTCGATTAAGTTCATCATTCTTCTCGATCTAAATGCCAAGAACTTCAACAGTTCCGATTCTGTTTTTTAAAATGTTGCACATAATAATCTAAGATGTTTCATTGGGATCTTCCACCATATGTTGACAAACTCCCTGGTTCCGCCTGCCATGGCATGCCAACTACTCACTCATGAATATCCTAACAAATGCAAATTATTGGCTTCTGAGTATTGCAATAAGAGGTAGGCAATTTTCGTTAGGATCCTTGATATTCTTTATCCGTATAATGAAGTGTTAGACTAAAGACAGATTATATAGATCCACATTTAGGTCCCAACAAAGCTCCTTAGGAGCAGGGTGAAAAAAAACTTATTTGGGAAGGGCCACCCTCTTTTTGACAGCATAGAGGGATGATAAACCCTACACCAAACACACACACAACCCAAAAAAATGCAACTGTGGGATTGCTGGCGGACAGTAACGAAGGTTTGTGAGTGACTAATGAATCTGACTTGCTCTGTGAACATCCTAGCAAATTTTAAATAATTTAAATTTTAGAGTGATAAAACCAAACTATAGTAAAAGAACAGCAACAAACTATTTGTTGCAGCAAGGGGCTTCACAGACACAGAAATGTCTATACAAAAGTGGTAATCACTGAATAAACACAGTAGAGACAGAGAGAACAGCACATAATAATTTTTAACGTGGTTCGGCCAGTATGACCTACGTCCACGAGCGAGACCAGCAGAGAACTTCACTAATCACAAAAGAAAAGATAACAAAGAGGATATCTGATGAGGATAATTTTTTATAATTGCTTAGTTTTGAATAAGGAAGATTTGGCAAGATTGACCAAATCTTAATTTAGTTAATTATGAGAAATTTGAGGGATTTTCTATTTTTTGGTAGGATTTTTAATTTCGATTTTTGAATTTTTGAAATTTGAATTTTGATTAAATTTGGTAGTTGAGTGATTTAAGGGATCTGATTGATTCTGAGAGATTTCAAATTTTGTAATTGCTTTATAAAAGCATGATTGTAATCAGAATGAGGATGTTGAATTATTGAGAAAAAAAAACATGTGAGTTTTCTGAATGAAAATTCTCCTCTTCGTATTTGGTGTGTGAAACCCAGATATTAAAACTAGGAGTGTGAAACCCTAGTTCTCTACCCAAGTTACTACACTATCCTACCCACCCATCCAACGTCCTGAACACTGGCTCAGTCTCCAACAGATCCGAGCCAAACTCGAGTTACGATCCACTCGCAGAGATCCCAGATCTCCTCTGCCTCGAACAGGCCGTCGAGAGCCCTGCTCCCCTCCACCTCGAACACCCGACGCCGCCACTGACTTCATCCCGACGCCGTTGTTGTCGTCGTCCGCCGCCATCAGTCACCTCACCGGACAGCCCACCGCCGTCCTCACCTACCTCCTAACAGCCCGCCGCCATTCTTCATCCTCCAGTGTCGATTCGTCCTTCCTTTCCTCAGATCGAAGAAAAGACACCAAGAAGAGGATCTTTAGATCTGGTTTTGTGTGAACAGATCGGACACCGGTGGTGTTTCATACTTGATTCAGTACGACGATGGTATAATTTCGTTCTATTATCTTTCTGTTAATCTCACTCATTAGCTAATTGCATGAATAATTTACCTCTAAACTCTTATCATATATTCACTGTTTAAATTATACAGGCGAGTGGAGAGTAACCGGACATGTGACTGTTGTACTCTCGATATTAATTTTGAACCTGCGCAATGATAATAAATACTGCAATTAAATTGATCGAGATTGGAATTATTCATAATTATCGATGCAAATCTTGTTAAAAATCCATCTGTCACGTTAATTGTTTTGAATTTCATTTCCTACCGAAGATCATGAATTTTAGCGAAACGGTGCGTTATTTCAAATTAAATTGCTGATTCCGATAGACCCCCTACCCCGTTTCACATCAATTTGGTATCAGAGCACGGTTATGTAGGAAATTTGCATCATATTTAGCTTGCATTTATTTTCTGTCTACAATCGCATTTTTTTCAACAAAAAAAATCATCATTTAGCTTGTTGGCGTGATTAGTGCATGCCACTCCGTAGTGGTCAAACTTACTTATTAGGAGAGTCTAGCGAGTCGGACAATTCTAGAATGGATTCCAACGCGTTCCCCATAGCTAACCTCATGAGTCAACTCAACGCTTTAACCCAAGCCGTGAACGAAGTTCGTCAATCTCAACAAGAAGATCATGACAGATTGCATGAAAGATTGCAGAGGTTAGAAATACGTGGGACGCAAAACAACGAACACAACGAAGAGCACGTTCCAATCAGAACCTACCAAAGACGTAATGCTCAAGATCTTGACGAACGATACCTGAAGAGCATTAAGCTGGACGTTCCTACTTTCGATGGTCGATCGGAACCTAAAATTTTTTTGGAATGGATCCGACAAGTGGACGATTACTTCAACTGGTATCCACTTTCTGAAGAGAGAAGAGTCAAATTTGCGGAAATGAAGCTGACTTGCCAGGCTAGCCAATACTGGGATAACTTGCAAATGACGAGAGTAGCTCGCCAAATGGCCCCCATCAACACATGGGCGGGTATGAAAGATACGCTCAAAGAGAAGTACATACATTTCTCTTACCACGATCGCCTTCTCGACAACCAGAACCCATTTACACAAAGTAATAAATCCACTAGGGATTATGTTACTCGATTTAAAGAGTTCCAAATTTAGTGTAATGCTTTGAACACTGAGAATCCACACCGAACAAATATAGAGTTGACTGAAATTTCGTGCAATGACAGCCCTCCGATTACTCTCCAAGTTACCCCTCTGATCACGGAGTTTACTGATATTGTCTCTATAGTTGTTCCTGAAATTAAAACTCCAACTCTTCCTGAACTCACTCCAGTGTCTGAAAACTTTGTTGACGCTCCCCACGAAATTCACCCGGACCAGCATGAACCCCAACACGTTTCTGATGTGGGTCCTAAAGTGATTCACTCAAATATCTGTATGGAAGTTGAATCCCAAATTGAGCATAATAAAATAACTACCATGTCAAATGTCAAACCCCCATGCATTGTCCCGACAGTCACTCACACATACACTAATCCATTTTGGGAATATATAGTGATTAGGGACACAAGTTTGAGCTCAAGTGTTTTTATATCCTTTCTCTCTCATATTAAGCGCACAAGAACACTCCTCCTTCACGCCCTTGTTTGCATGTTCATCACTATCACTGCTAGAACAGAATTTTTTTATTCATATTAGCGAAGAAACGCCTAATTATTCCATTTGATAGAGGACGTCATGCATTTTAGGCACTTCGTTGAGTTTGCATCTGCTTGTGATCATATTGTTCGAGTCTGCATATCATACATATTCATTTGAGTTAATTTGCATCATTTTGTTTGAATTGCATTGATCATATATTGGGGAATCAGTGATCTAACTTGAATAAATACATTGTCAACTGAAATGTATGATATGGAGTCAGGATATGATTTAAAACTGTTAATGCTGATAATTTAGATGGTTTGGACTTGTCCAAAACGGTTCCTTAAAGCCGTTTAAGATTTGATATGATATTTATGAACTTTTCCAATTCATGAAATAATTAATGGCAATATTTATATTATCAATTTGATCATGGTTCTATTTTCAATATTGATTGATTAAACAGTTCACAATGTTTATTGACAGTCCACTGATATAAGCCTGACCCTAGCCTATCATTTCTGAGAGCTCTTTCACTTTACCCCACTCCATATATTCACCCAATCTGCAGTGAATTTTAATAATATTTTAGATGGTGAATTTATGATGCAATCTAGCTAATAATTTGAGATGCAGGAAAATAGCTGACGGCAGATTAAGATGCAGGCATACTATATTGAAGATGACAAGTTTCTGCAGCCAACTCGACGGAGTCGAGTTTTCTCCCACCCGGGGAGAATGATGAGGATAATTTTTTATAATTGCTTAGTTTTGAATAAGGAAGATTTGGCAAGATTGACCAAATCTTAATTTAGTTAATTATGAGAAATTTGAGGGATTTTCTATTTTTTGGTAGGATTTTTAATTTCGAATTTTGAATTTTTGAAATTTGAATTTTGATTAAATTTGGTAGTTGAGTGATTTAAGGGATCTGATTAATTCTGAGAGATTTCAAATTTTGTAATTGCTTTATAAAAGCATGGTTGTAATCAGAATGGAGGATGTTGAATTATTGAGAAAAAAAAACATGTGAGTTTTCTGAATGAAAATTCTCCTCTTCGTATTTGGTGTGTGAAACCCAGATATTAAAACTAGGAGTGTGAAACCCTAGTTCTCTACCCAAGTTACTACACTATCCTACCCACCCATCCAATCCCCAAACTCATCACAGCCGTCCATTTTATAAAAAAAAAACAAACAAAGAAACCGTCCTGAACACTGGCTCAGTCTCCAACAGATCCGAGCCAAACTCGAGTTACGATCCACTCGCAGAGATCCCAGATCTCCTCTGCCTCGAACAGGCCGTCGAGAGCCCTGCTCCCCTCCACCTCGAACACCCGACGCCGCCACTGACTTCATCCCGACGCCGTTGTTGTCGTCGTCCGCCGCCATCAGTCACCTCACCGGACAGCCCACCGCCGTCCTCACCTACCTCCTAACAGCCCGCCGCCATTCTTCATCCTCCAGTGTCGATTCGTCCTTCCTTTCCTCAGATCGAAGAAAAGACACCAAGAAGAGGATCTTTAGATC